AAGAACCGTAGAACGCATAGAAGTGGTAGAATCTGGCTGAACCTCAGTTCATCTTCTTCTTCCGCAGTGAGCCGGGAACAGTATCGGGGATCGGAGTCCTGTGGCGGTAGCTGATGGCGCAGTTGTCGAATTCGCCATTTTTCGCCGGCGCTGTTTACGTAAGGCACCTTCTCTTCGGGGAGAGTGGCGAAGAACATGTGTACCTGAAGGTGATGACCTTATGAAATCATCGAAAATCATCTCAAAAATCTTACCATATTCGGTTTAAGCCCGCTGGGGACCCATGCGTACTCTTCAAGGACACAACCGGAATCATCGTCACTGGTCGAATGGCGATGGACGTCTGCAGCTATCCGAAGTCGTGACGCCGGTGACAGTCCCCCATCGTTTCGTGGAGCTCGTAATTCACGACTGCGACGTCGTCGCACTCGATCGCTCATCTAATCGATATCTATTCATTAGCATTAGGTAATGATCAACAGTCATGAATCATCCACGGGAACCTTGCCGAATACAGTGCCAGACTTGTAGATAATGAGTAAGCGTATGACAGTAAGAGCAATCATGCGTGAAGAAAACGAGGTACAAGGACCAGAAACTAATGCGATTAGGTAACATGTCATTATGGTTAACTGGGCTGGTCCATAACTAGACCGGCTTCACCTTATACCCCTCCAAATTAAATTTATTATGCCTTCTATTTACTAATGTCACGCCTTCTTATGTGACTCCCCGAAACTAAAACATGTGCTCAGGGTACAGCATCGTTGCGTGAAACACATGGGGGGTCGTACTTTCCGCTGGGGATGGGGTCGTATTTGGTCGCTCTTGGGACAGGGGGTCGTATAGGGCTTCCAAAGAAGTTTGCTGCGTTGGGAAAATTTTTTTCCGTTTGTTGACTTTTCGTGATTTTTCCTGTATCACACGTGCTGTACCCCCCTCCCCCCGCTCGACGGAAAATTTTTGGGTGAGGAACTGTAAAATGTGGAAACTGGTTGGTTAGGTGTTGGGGCAGTATGTGGCATTTTCACGATGCTGTACACTGCATGTGCTTCCTCTTTTCCGTTACAGTCAAATGTGCTTGCTTTCATTAGTTCGTTTTATGGCGTATTTTGCGTGCAAATATGAATAAATAATGGAATGATTGAATAATCCGTGGTTTTCAAGCAATATTTATTATTCATTGTTAACGTGCTTACTCATTTGCAACGTACAGGCGACTGCAATCTTCTCCCAGAACAAGAACAGGATGACAGATGAGTAGTTGATCTTGATGACAGTTGCCTCTTATGAAATAATTCCATGAAAAGTGCATCTCATGTCAGGTTGAAGCGAAATACTTGGACTCCAGGATACGGAGTTTGTCTGCCCTCTTTCCAACTTTTTCCAAAATTCCTAGAGAAGGGGAGGGGGCAAATACAATCCAACAACGGGATGATTAGTAGCAAAAATAGTAGTTTTGTAGCCGGGACACGTCGTGCGGTAGGGGTCCCCAGCGAGGGAGTGGTGGTGTGTTATTGGTAGCTAGACGGTACCCCTCCCCTGTCATTTCTTCAGCGGGGGAGGGGGTTGTGGAAAACATTTGTAAAAGAAAAACTCTGCAAAAATGGAAGCAAGTCGAAAGAATTCAGGGAGTAGTGTGGGGAAGGGGATCCTGCCAAAGGAGAAAATTTTGAAGGGAGTTGGGTTGGTACTTTGCAAAATACCCAACAGCAGGAGGCGCCTTGTTTGTAGCACCGCCAAACTGGGGAGATGAGCACATTGCGACACGGAAAAATTTTCGAAATCGAATAACTATAGTCTCCCTATAGTTTGTGTGATTTAAAGAGTTGCTGCATCCGATTGCCTCACTCTTCTAAGAGAAAGAGAGTAAAACGAAGATTTCAACCTGAGAAAGCGAAATGAGCGAACTGAAATCATTCACCCCAGAAAGCTAAATGAGCGAGTAATCGACAATACTGGTGATGACCCACCGAGCCAATAATCAATAATGATCGGTACTAATCCAATAACAAAATTCATTCAAGGCACACGGTGCCGTATACTCGAAATGAGAAGAGTTCTGAGAATAGTCTCCAACTTCTCTCTTCGTATAACCTCGGCATTGTTGTAACTTTGATGTTCTATTACTTCTGCGCAACGAGGTTTTTAGGTGGAACTTTTGGGCCGTAAATAAAGTTCCACCTAAAAACCTCGTTGCGCAGAAGTAATAGAACATCAAAGTTCTGAGAATATTTCTGAGACTTTCAGGGGTTTTTGACGGAGCTTCGCGTGTTCGACGCGTCTTTCCATAAATTTGTGAAATAGCTCGTAAGGGTACTTCTAAAAGCAGGGCACATCGTTGTTGGAGATTCCCCAACAGGGGATACGGCCGCCGGGGAGGGGCTTTTTTGATGGTTGACTTAGTTGTTTCAGGGACGTTGTGAAGGGGGGGGGAAGGTCGTATTTGGCTTTTGGCTTGTGAGAGAGGTTACTAACTTTTTACTGACTTTTTGTGGTTTGGTTTTTCCTGTTTCATGTGTGCTATTCACCCCTCCCTCCCCCCCCCCCCCCTCAAAAAAGGGAATCGTACGGAATCGACCACAATCCCCAACTAATGATTTGCCCTGCTTGAAAAGGTTTGGGAATTCACAGTTCAAAAAAAGAATGCTATCTCTTCGATTTTTGTGGGAGCTATGAGTCATTACCACAATCTTTAACTTTTTAATAGTGAGAAAGAGGGTGTAAGAAATGCTGCTCCTGATTCAGATTGAAGGAAAATCGGGACCTCGGGAACAGTCGAAAAAAGGTGAAACATGTTAAATGCTCAGGAGGTGTAGCATTGTTCTCAGATCGAGAGCCCGTTTCCGGGACTTTTCCAGATACAACCAGTTTCCTTGAACGCCGCTTAGGAAACTTTTCGCTTCATAGACTGCCCTACAAAGAGTTATGCGGACCCGATTATACCCGCAAGTTTCGGCTTCTAAGCGGTCAGCATAGGGCGATGAGTCGATTAGCGACGTGGTGTGCACCTAAGTGATAGCGAAGAAAAGTAAATATTGGTACAGGTCAGACGATCTGGCCCTCGATTAATGAGCAGTGGCCAACAGACAAGCGGACATTGGCACAGTCAAAATAGAGGAAGCTTCAGAAGGAAAAAACAGAGCACTTTGAACACTTTATGTAGGCATTGGAATCGTAGTTGCTAGCGTGTATGATTGCGAAAATGTGACGCTAAATAGTTGGGGGTGCCGTCGTGATGTCGCGGCGGATTCTATTAAGACGTACGAATATGCAGATGAATTGCGAGATAACGCTTGAAACCAGCACTCAATGTGCTCTCTGAGGACCAACTGAACAAATCTCGCTGACTCAAGTTTCAGTCTCGAAGTGAGTGGCAGGGTGGACAGGGTGCAGGGTGCTATAGATTACAATGACGAAATCGAAGCAATCGAGAAACGAAGGACATATGAACGTCGCTTTGTGTGATTTCTATGAAGCTCCAATACTCAACACACTGAACAACATGTGCATTGATCTAATGCACATTTTTCAGCTCCAGATTTGCACATTCATAAACAGGTTTCAGAGCAGGTTTTCCAATTGATTTTTTTCCAGAATATGTCGATTTTTATGTCAAAATAAGCTGTACTCTCTTCGTCCGGACTAGA